ATGCTAGACTTAGTTGTTAGGAAAATCTATGTAATTGCAAAAGTAATTTTAAGAATCTTAATAAAGTACTAGCATGATTGCTTAAGTTTAAAAAAAAAAAAAAAAAAAAAAAAAATGCTTATGATTACTAATTATAGACTTTTGGCATCATATCAAGATCAAATTTATATATAATAATAAAAAGTTTTTATTTGATTGAAAATTATAACTAATACCAAAACTATAAATAAATTATATTTCCAGAATAAAGATCTTTATATGAGTGTTGCTAAAAGAAAATCTGAAAATTTAAATATAAGTCATATTTAAATTTTTGAATTTTCTTTTAGCAACATTCATATACAGCTTTGGCTTTGTAAATCACATTAAGCATACAGTTAGCCTTCTCAGAACTGATCTTGTCAAAACCAATAATTTGCCAAAATCAGTTAAAAATTATTCCACCAGATATCTGTTCTATAAGTAATAACTAATAATCTGCTATTTCTAATACTAAACTTGTCCATTATGCATACCAGTTTTGAGAGGGCCAACTATATCTGCATACAATAATTTAGTTTAAAATCTTAATAAAATTTATTATATTTACTGTTTAATAATTTCCAGAAACAGAGAATGATAATCCTAGTGTAATTGTCAGATTGTCATCTTCCAAGTGGCAGGTCTAAGGTTCAAATCCTACCTACAATGAAATTTGGAAATTAACTTGTGTTATAGCAAACTGTCTCTTGATAATTAGTTGGATTCGTATATCTGTAACATTAAGTTGCACCATCTCGAATAGGAGCTTAGGGCATCTATACCAAGTATAATATTACATATATATAGAGAAATGTCAATAACCAGTGTTGTATAAGACTTCAGTGCAAATATACGATAAGACTATTAGGCACAGTAAACTAAGGAACTGAAGAGTCAGAAGCCCACTTGAAATTCCTAAGTAAAAAGATAGCATGAACTTTCAATAGTATAATCAGACTGATGAAAGTCCATGAAACATCTTCAAAGAGATAGACGAATAAATTAGATATTAAGATGTGTAGAGAAGCATATGACCAACCAGGTTGTTAGAATCGTCAGAGAAAAAGGATATATAAGTATACTGTACCAGGCTATCTGAATCAGAAGTTAGAGAAGTCCTATTGGTCCTAAGTAGTAGTTAGTAAGGAATGATAGAGAAGACATCATAATAATAAGTACTGGAGTTCTAGTAAACTTTACAAGGGTAGAAATAGTAAAACATAGTGGTTAAACAGGTAACCTCTATAACTGCAAGTGTTAGGTAACTATAGCATGTTGCATAAAACTAGATCAGCTGTGTATAAGACACAAAAGGTTCTAGTAAGTTTTCTGTCAAAGATAAACTAGTTCTAAGAGTCTTAAAAGCATTAGGTACTTTGAATAGGCATAGCCTAAAAGATGTTTCTATGATCACAAGTCAGATTACATATGCAGAAGGTTTAAATAGACAAGACCCATAGTTGGCTTGCAAGTATGGCACCTAGTGTAGAATCTGTATAGTAATGTATAGGCAAACTACTTAAATTAGGCACCAAAAGTATACATGTAACTAGTTGTAACCTCTTATATATGGAAGCTCCTGAAGGCATCTGTGTCTAAATACTTGAATAAAAAAATTGATCTCCAAAGGCAGTGACTTTAATATTAAAAAAAATAATAATAATTTTCAGAAACTTTTTTGCTTTGCTTGCTGCATAATTATTATATAATTATTATCTTTTTGGTACTTAGCTATTATTTAGAAATATATACTATTTTTAACAATCTTTTATGTACATCTATTTACTTTCTACAAGCTAACTATATAGTAGAATATGAAAGGCTTTGGAGATTTGAGCAATAAGGGCCTAAATAAATCTATATTCTGGTTCTATAATAAGCACTATGAATTGGCACAATATTTACTAACATGAAAGAGTTCGTTTAGCTCTAGAGAGCTACTTTGTTGAATAGTATTTTGATCCTAAATTTGACTATCTAAGTTGATCCTTAAATTCAGATATTAAGATCAAAGATTTATACTTTGATTGGTCAAAGAACTTAAATAATAAACATAAGAATTTGCTTAAAACTAGCTTTAGATCTAATCCTAATTCAGATTTAATAGAACCCAGATGGTCTGTCAAAGATAAGATTTATATAATGTCATTTAATATGCAAGATGTGCTAAAAACCTGCATCCAACTGATTATAAAATGCTGATACATATATATATAACTAAAAGCAGTAAATAACATTAAAATTTGATCAGAGTAGGAATTGCTACTATATGCTAAAATGTATAATAAATTATATAACTAAATAATTTGGATAGAAATTTCTCAATAGATCTCTAGAACTAATTCTATGAATTTGAGCAATTAAGGTTATATTGAGAAGATCTTTAAAAGTATATATGATAAAAATTATTACATGTCTATAAATATTCAAAACTTTCTATAATATTGTTAGTATTTTATAATGTCTAAAGATATGCCAAAGAAATTTAGTTAAATAAAATCTATTTAAATAAGTTTCTTCAGAATTTGATGTACTAATAAAATTCAGGATATTAAAAATCATAAATAGGCAGTAAGAATATGTAGTTCATAATATTTATTATTCTCACTCAAATTTCTTTATTAGATTTTATAAAGATACATAATGGGAGTGGTACCCACTTTGCTAAATCACTACTTCTTTTCTTACTGCTATATTATTTTTGTTTTAAATAATAAATACTACTATTTGATAGGTATTTGTGCTTAGTCACATAATGAAGCATTTTAGAGAATTGAAGGTATGAGCTCATGCTATAGTGTAGCACATTCTATCTTATTTGGATAACAAATTTGGGCTCACACTATAGTGCAGCATATTCTACTTGTTATCTAATAACAGCAGAGCCATGCAGAGTGTAGTAATGTATAAGAGAGATGGGTAAGAGTAGTAAAAAAGTAGGTGAAATAGACAAATGAAGTAAAAAAGCACTAGCATTTTCTAAACTATATCCATATGCAAGTATTACTAATTCACATTATACAAAGACTAAATCTGAGTAATCCTCATAATAATAGCCCTAGTGTAACTATCATCAATGCATAGAGCTATTATTTATAAATATATTGAGATCTTTATACTAATAATTGTTGTAACTTCAGAATTTGCTATAATTTGTTGTAACTAGTAATACCAAATATAGTAAATTATAGCATGCATTACTAATCTTATATAATCAACCCAAACTGTATTCTTAAATCCTGTTGTTTTTCTTTTTAATAATTATTTCTGCTAGTACATTGATATTACACATAGAAAGAGTTTAAAAGCATAAAAGAATCTTATTTAAAACTCATATTTTGTATAATATACTTGTAAACTTATATATATTTAATAAATAAATTTGCTTTTAAATAAATGCTCAAATTAGTTGCAGAATAATAAAGTATTAAATGCATCTTATAAGTCAAATATGAAATTATTATAATTGAATATTGCTAGCAAAATTTTTGCTATTTCATAATAGAACAGCAATATTCTTTATTAATCTATCTAATGCTTTTGTTTTTTCAAGGTTTCTTGATATATAATTAACAGCAAACATATTTTAAATAAGCATGCATAAATATAATATTAAATTTGAACATATAATTCATCCATATTTGTTGCACTCAACCATCAATTTAATATATTAATAGTTGTATATTTATCTACAAAGATGATGATTTCTTCTTTTTCTAAAGGACTTGTTATAGAACTATAATTATAATAAAAGCACATTACTTAAAGTTAAAGTAAAAAAGAACTAAAAGAGTAATTGATACTAACACTAACTGAATTTTTTTTTGTTTGAATTCTTCTACTAACTTTTTAACACTATTAATCAATTTGTTATGGAAATCACTAAAATGTTTTGTAGCTATTTGAAGCCCATCAATTCCTTCAGCTGAATTGAGATCACATTTGATAATCTGTCATACTAAATTCTCAATCATTTTTCTTTAAGAATTTCGAACATGAAGAAAAAAACACTTTAATTTCTTCAAATAGTCTTGACTATCTTTTGTCTATTAAATGAATTTATTAATAATTTATAAAGATGGTAAGAAAAAAAAGAAGCCAACTACCTTATCATATGGATTTGATATTGTAATTGATATTGCTAGAAGAATAAAGGGCATAAATCATGAGCCATCTGTAACTGGAGTTTGTATTGAAAAATTTATACAATTTGCAAGCTGCAAAATATTCAGATTTGAATATAATTACAAGCAAATCTGATAAATTGACATATCACTAAATAGTGACAAAATAACTATATTATTAAAATCAAAATAGCCAAGCATATTATTAGAGAAGTTTGATTCTAGAGTTGATGAATTTCTTAAAAATATGACTGTTGAACTAATTGAAGAATGATAGAAATCATTTTGAATATTAGTATTAGTTCTTGAATCCAGAATTGGTAAGAGGCATCTTAGAGACACAATACTTAGCTTTAAAGTTGATGATAACTGTCCTAATAGTGAAGTTGCTTGAAGTGCTATTCTTGATCCTAAAACTGGTGATTTATTTCTTAGTCTTAGAGCTGATAATTGTTGTTATAAAGGCATAAATAAAGAAGATTAAGACATTTTATCAAGATTTGCAGTTTCATAATCATCTAAAAAGAGAATCATAAAAAGATTACAATATAACAAAGCTATAATGATAAATTTTAAATTAATTATACCTTAAAAATCATCAACATCTAAAAAGTGAATTGTGAAAATATCATAATATAATAAAATTAAATAATGATAAATTAATTACAATATAATAAAATAATAATGATAAATTTATGAAAGTAATCATTACCTTGTAAGTCATCAGAATTTTTTAAAAGTTTATCAATTACTTGTAAAGACAAAGATACAACTGCTCTTTGTTTCTTTTTGCGATTTTGAACATCATTATCTAAACAAAACTATTGTGTAAAACATTATATAACTAATTAATAAAGCTCCAAATAAAGATAAATTTTGTCTTGTAAATTGTTAGCACTATTAATAAGTTCATAAATTATTTGTGAAGATAAAAGTGTAATTGTTTTTTGTTTTTTTTTTGACTATTATTATTATTTAAAAAAAAAATCATGAAATAATTATAATTAATTGAAAAAATCAAAAAAGGTATATTTGTCTTGTGAGTTGTCAGTATCATTTGCAAGTTTATTTATTATTTGTAGAAATAATGATGCAGTAGTTTCTTGCTTCTTTTTGCAGTTTCATTTTTTAGCAGTATTTGAGTTAACTTGTGAATTATCAACATTAGAATGATTAATTTCCTTTTTTTTATAGCCCCATTTAGTAACAGTGAACATTTTATTGTTTGCAAATTTCTTAAAATTTCTAGTATTCATGTTTAGCAGTAAAGTAAAAAAAAAAAAAATACTCATATATAATATTTATATATAAATATTGAAAGTTTATTACATAGCTTTGATTATTAATTTTTAGATCATGATTAAACAATATTATGAGATAAAGAATGGCTTTTTGCTAAAGGCTTTTTTAGTATCATATTTATTATCTTTTTTCAATAAAATTTCATATCTATTAAAAAGCATACAAGTTATAAATGTCTTGAGATATGATATTTAAACAATTATATTATTTATAAATCTGCAATTATACATGTATCTAAATTACCTCCTCTAATAAATAATTATTATACCTTATATATGCTTTCAATATTACTTTTATAACATATTATTCTTGTAGCTTAGAACTATTATTAACCAAGTAGCTATTACAAGTCAAAAATAAAGCAAGTCTTTAAGTAATAATATAACTATTATGTTTCAAGAAAGAGATAGAAAGACTACTGTGATTTACATTAATTTAGTATCAATAGTTTCTTGATTTTATTCACATGAATTTTTATGATACTCAAGAGTTTGAATTCTAATAAAAATAATATTTAAATTACAAAATAACTTCATTACAAAGAATTTGAATTTCAATAGGATTTTACTAAAGTTATTAGCTGAATTCTTAGAGAAAAATATCATATTATAAAGAGGATATGTATTTAATTGAAGTTTTTATAAACACACCCTAATGTATAGAGCATGTCTTTATTAATTTTATTTTTATATTTTTTTTGATATATTATTCAAGGCTATTATATTATTTTATAAATATGAATATTTGTAAAATTAGATTTGAAGTGGACTAAGGTTAAATGTTATTTTATTTATAAGATTTCATGCCAAATTAGGATAAATATAACTTTTAGTTGAGACTAACAATGATCCAAATTGTTAATTGAAAAACAAACTAGTTTAACTAGTTGATTAATCAATTGAAAAATTTTTAATAAACTAATTGTTGATCGATTTGGATATTATATTAATAATTCTATCAATCTTATGCATCAATATTTAAGATCTTATGCATTATTATTTATTTCATAAGTTATTTGACATTTGATTATTCTTTAGAGATATGGCAGTATAGTCAGGATTAAGGTTGCAGATATTAGAATATTAAATAACATCTGACAATAATATAAGTAATAATGTATGATTGTTATTACCCAAATTTTATATGAAGTAAAGGAATGAAAAGTAGTAGTTATCTTTAATCTTTAAAATATTTATATATATAGTCATGATTTATATGATTACATGATTGTGCTTGCATATATATAGTACCTCAAGTGTCAATTTGACCAAGCCTAAACAATATTTAAATAATGCATTTAGATTAATTTTACTAATTGATATTTGGATGTTCAAATTGAAAATTAAGCATTTGAAGTTTATCATATATGTTCTTACCAACTTTATATTTTGTCTGCACTAGTGATATTATTATTAACTATCTCAATTTAAAACATGATCAATAATCATGCATACTACATATATTATACCTATAGAAAATTGATCATAATAATAGGATAAGAGTAACTATTCTGATTTTTTAAAGCATCTAATAATTATGTCTGTATATAACAATTATATTTCAATTAATTTAAATATCAATGTAATATATGTATTATTAATCAATATAATAACATTCTGAGTAGGTAAATCATAAACTATCATTCCTTAAACTGTTAATTTAACTATGAATCTACTGCAATTTAGACTACATTCCAATATAATTTAATAGTTTAATCACAGATTAATCATAAAATTTCTAGGCAAATATGCCTGCAAAATGGTGTAAAAAATAAACTCAATTTATATATTTCTGTAATTACATTTTTTCTAAAATTTTTATCTTATTTTTCAAACAATGTTTTGTAATCATTATATTCCTTTTAATCTTTATCAGAATTATATAAGACATCTACCTCATATATTCAACATACCTTTATATGAAATAGTAAATAAAAGAAGCACCAAAACTAATATTTTTAACAATGACCATATTGAAAAGGAGTCTAATAACAACATGTTAAGTAAAAAGAATTTCAATTATATTATTTTGAATTATGATTCTTATGATAATATATTAAACAAAAATGATAATGATGTGTTGAATAAAGACAGTATGTTAAGTGAGGATGGTGCATTGAGTAATGATGATTTGTTAAAAGATAAAAATTTGTTGAGAAATGATTTGTTAAGCAATGATGATTTGTTGAGCAATGATAGTTTATTGAAAGATGATTTGTTAAGCAAAGATAATTAGTTAAATGAAGATGATTTGTCAAGTGCAAACAGTATAATGAGTAAAGATAATTTGTTGAGAAAAGAAGATTGCAAAAGAGAAATTATTGATGAACCTTTAAGTAGTAAAGACATACCATTTATTAATAGAGAATTTGCACTATACTTTAGTAATATTATGGAAGCATTAATATTTTTTTAGATCCAGAAATATAATATATGTAAGTTAAATAATTTATTTATTATAAATACTGTATTTGTTTGCTAATTTTTTTTTTTAGCTATTTATGCTTATGATAACTTAGTAGACATAATTTATTATCCTTAATTCAAAAGTAAAGATATTGTAAAGAACATTAGAAGATTCAAAAAATATAAGCAAAGACTGCTTTTACTTAAAATTAAATCATATTAAGTTTACATTTCTAACAAAAAGACACTATCTACATTAAGAGATACTAAAAAGGCATATTATTTATCAATTTCTAATATTATTTGGTATACTCTTAATAACCTTTTGCTATTCAGTACAATGTACTTTGGTCAAGGTTAAGAAGTTGCAGAAAATTATAAATTATGACATAGCAACATTTAGAAGGAATCACCAAAATTTGAACAGAAATCTGTTATTATTAATGAAGGTAATTATCTGAAGCATCATCAATTCAATATAGCATAATAAGATTAAAAAAAATAGCTACACAAGATTAATTGTTTTTTTTTTTTTTTTGGTATTAAGGTGAGGTTTTGCCTTTATCTTTATTAATAATTTGTTATGGGCAACTACA